TTTTGAGGTGCTACATATCGTCCCACACAAAAAAAAAACCTTTCTTAGCATCCTAACTATTTCGAGAAATATTGGTCTTGTTAACAGTGCCTTGAATCAGTAGATAAGTTCAGTATACATCTCATGTAATAAAATTTCTCTGCTTTTGGATCCTACGAGATGTATAAACTGTCGGAGGAAATATATATATGAAGTATCTTGAAATCTTCCATGTTTCAGCTTTATGTGATACAGACGAAGTGACAGAAACATGTTCAGTGTCCTGTGCAAAGGATGTTTTGAAGGACTGAAGCTAGTTTTTTAAGAAGAATAAAAATTATCCATGCAGTTCTTACAGTTTTTTCATGCCTTGCAAATGAGCTACTCTATTCCAGAAAAAAAACATACAAGATATGGTTCAAACATGAAAAAATTTCTTTTCCTGAAACAGCTATATCTTTTTTTTTTTTTTTTTNNNTTTTTTTTCCTTTTTCCTCTTTATTTCTTTACAAAATAACTGTATACATCCCCACACGCGCACCCCGCTATGTTGCTTTGGTTTTGTTGAACGACTTTTCGACCTCACTTTTCTCATTCATACGCCATTTCTGGAGCTCGCTCTCCACAATCTTCTTGGCTGCCTCCGCCATGTCAGCTCTCTTCACAGCCTCCTTAATTCCCGACTCTATGGCCTCGTTTTCCCTTACCACCATCTCCACTTTCTCCATAACTATCATCTCGTTTGCGTTTATACTCTCCACCTGGGTCATGGCCGTCGACACTTTCAGATCCGCCTCATTCTTAAAAGCCACGATTTTTCTATTCATCGACTCGAATTCCTCAACAGACAATCTGATAATTTTCGAGCCCCCACTTTCCTTGCCTTCGTAGTTACAGATTTTATCATTGGCATCCTTTTTGGCAGCCTCGGCTTCCTCCAGAGCAGCCCGCAGCTTCTCCTCAGACTCTTTGGTTGCAAGACGCAATGCCTCGGCCTCTAGATTTAGTGTAACAGCCTTTTTTTTGATTCCTTGGGCCTCAAGCCGGGCTTTTTCAGCTTCGGCCGAAAGTTTATCAATGGAAGATTGCATTACCGAGGCACATCCCGACATGGCTTCCTCGAGCTCGACTTTCCTCTTTTCTAACTGAGTCTGCATCTGTTCTGCGCTCGACTCTTCCTTGTTCACCTTTGCTTCCAATTCCAAGCACTTGTTTTTCACCTCCTCCAGCTGCTTCCTCATGGAATCAATTTGGGCCTGAAGTGATCTTTCTTCCCGGACGGCCTCGTCCAGGGCCTTCTTTGACTTATCGAGCTCCGAGAAGGTAGTCTTGAGGGTGTACAGGTCGGTGCCCTGAATATCGTTCAGCTGGGCCTGAAGGACCTTGACGGCGTCCATAGTCTGCTGTAGCTTCTCCTGGAGGGTCTCCTCGGGCTCGTACGCCTCCCTCAAGCGCCGGGCCTCACTCTGGGCCCGCTCCACTTCTGACCGCCGGGCCTGCAGCTGATTCTCCTTCTCAGCCATGGCCCGCAAGTGCTCCTCCTCAGCTCGTTGGACCTCAAGCTCAAGCTCTGCAAGGGCCCGGTGGAGAGCCCCAACCTCCACTTCAAGGTGGGCCTGGGCCTGCTGATTAGCTTGGGCCTGGGCTTGTGCATCCTCTGCCTCCTGAAAGACAGTGAGCTTGTGTTCGAGGGCTGAGTCTAAGTCCTGGCGGAGGCTGGCGAGCTCCTGCTTGCAGTCGGTGAGCTGTCCGGTGCATGCCTTGTAGGCCTCGCGCGCGTTTTCAAGGTCAACCTTCCAGGCATCAGAACCGAGCTGAGCTCGGAGGGTGCGCAGCTCCTCGAGCTCTTGGGCCCGGGCCTTGGCGGCCTCGCTGGCCCGAATGGAGGCCTGCTTGGACTCGCTCAGGGCCTCCAGCTTGTTGGTGAGCTCGTGGAGGGTGCGGTGGGCCCTCTGGAGGTCCTTGAGGGCCTGGGACTTTGTGGTCTCAGCGTTCTTGAGCTGCTCCTTGTAGTAGTCGAGCTCGCGTAGCAGCATGTGGTGCTGTGTTTCCTTCTCCAGCACTCGCTACACGTAAAAATTGATAGTGTCATGCTAGTTGCCACACGAACATGATTCGATTCGAACCATTTATGTTGAACTGAATTTTCTTTTTTATGATGTTGATATAGATATGTATATATACCTCGTCGGAATTAGAACGCTTGGAGACGGGCCGAGTTTTGGGGGAGCCGACTTCGCCGAATAAACTGACGGCGGCCTTCACGGACCGGAATGGGGCCTTTGTGTCAATCTCCCCGACGAGGTCCGATCGTGGGGATGCGGGCCCGTTTTCTCGGGCTTTTGCCGGGACACCGAGCATCGTGTAAATATACTATCGCTTACAACCTGTGAGACAATTCCAAACAGCTCCTAGTTAGACATCATACATCTCATTTGATTATGGCTTTTCACGAAATCTATGCATAAAATAAAAATGGCGGTTCCCAGCAAACCAAAACCTGAAAAAAAAAAAAAAAA